AGATTTCTAACATTAAATGCATAAATGAAAACATAAATTTCACACTTTCAAAGTAATAAAAAACTTGTTTTTACGTTAAAATGAACGTGCATACATATATTGTAAAGCTTTTAATAAACACTTGCAATCATTAAATAAAAAGCTTTAATAAAACAATGAAAAGAACCAAGTTTTTAAATTACTTATTAGTCCGTAATGAAAATAATAATTAATTTTTTGAATCCTGCATAAATATTTTAAAATCGGATATGTTAAACTAATCGGCAACGCTGTATAAATATACTTGATATGAACCGAGATTTTAACCGTATTGAAAACCGGTTAAACATTAAATTTCGGCTACGGGTAGGGTTTTAGATAGGTAAAGAAACACGTTTTGTAAATTTATGAGGTTAGGAAATTGAATAATGAAATAGGACTCACTTGTTTTTGCATCAAAATTATTGTAATCTTCTTTCCATCTGGATCGTACGGACCAAACTTTATGTAGAAATGAATTGCATACGTTATACACTTTTTATTTAACTGAACTATAATAAATTAACATTTGAAACATTAAATAAAATGAAATGAAATGGACTGTATAATTTCGAACTGGCTTGTTCGATGGTCGCTAGCTAAGAGGGCGACTTGTTAAAGTTGACGGCGTATGGTTGGCTGGAATACCATGTTGCCACGTTGATTTAAGTTTTCACCACTGAGTTTTTAGTATCGGAGCATTTTATTATTTATTCGATATATTGCACTTTAATCACAGCTTAAAGTAAGCAGCACATTGGGACGCAGGTGAAACAGGTGACGCAGTGCAGGGCAGGCTACACAGGTCAGAAAATATACGTGTCACGCAGTGTGAGCGCATATTTGGAAGCAGTCTTCTCGAAAATTTTGAGGTGCGAATATCGAATATATTATATGAACATAGAAAGAGAATTTTATAATTTAAATAATGGCGTTATTTCTGGACAGTTGCGAATCAGAGTCAGACACAGAATTTAAAGAAACAGTTTTATTATTCAACATGTCAAAGAAAAAAATTATTTTGGAAAAGCAACTATATGAAAAAGAGAAATACTCATGGGGAATTTGCACTATCATCAGTTTGCAATTATTTTCGGTTAAGCAGAAAACAAGTTGATGAAGTACATAATATAATAGAAAACAGTATTTATTCAGATGGTTGTAATGCCCAAAAACCAATAGGAACCAAAGAAAAACTAGCTTTTTTTTAAGGTATTATTTTTATTAATATTCTTTTATTAAAAATTACAAAAATATCATTTTAAACAATCATAATTCTATACTCTATAATTTTCCACAAAATTACGAATATTACCGTTATCAACAGTTTGAGGAGATGTCTCAGCAGACAACCTGGGGGTGAGTGTAATAGATGAATAATTACTGGTGCTTCTAAAGTTGTAATTATTTGAGCATAAAAAACAGTTGTTGGGAATAGGAGCTAGAGGATTATTACAATGTTAATTCTCAGTATGCTGGCTACTGTGACTGGAATTTGGTGATGGAAGAGGTGTTGATGAGTAATGGGGCTGCTGAATATGGGTATTAACATATGCACTTGTAAAAACCCTTTGTTTACTATGAGTGTAGTTTCGACATATAAAAATGATCATGAGATCATCATCCAAAGGCTTTTGTGCTGCCCTTTCAACTGCTCTTTCTTCAGCCCTTTTTTGAAGTTGCATAATTGACTGCTTTATCACTTCCTGTATATCATTATTTTTAGGTTTCTTATTTTTAGCTACTTTGGTTATGATTGATTGGTCTTTAGTTGCCTTACGTTTGGTATTTTCTTTTTTGTTATTTTTTTGTATAACAATACCAGACGTAGACGGCTCATTACAATGTCATTTTTAACACTCGATTTCTTCGGTATCTTCTTGTAAATTAGTTATTTAATTTAAATAATTGGGATCGTTGATATCGTAAAGAATTCTCTGGCTTCTCACCAATTCGATTAATTGTTAATTCATTTCGAATATAACCACACAAAATTTTACTAGAAACAAACAACTGCTCTGCACGTGGCACAGGAATCTGTGTCCCGACGACTGCGCTGGCAGGTTTTCTTAAACACAGTTCTGTGCTGCCCTGCCCTGCGTTCCAATTCGCGCGGGGGTAATGTAATTGTACGGAAAACAGAAACCTGTGCTGTCCTACGCTGCGTTGCCTGCGTCACCTGCGTCTGAATGTGCGGCGCGCCTAATTGTGGTTTTCGAGCTGTTTCCTTACATGCCTTGGTGTATTACTAAAGGTTAATGAGAAAATCACGAAGATAACTTTTTTTTCACGAATAAAAACACCTTTTCGTTTTTGCTTCGTGTTGTGTTGATATATCTTTTATATCTACACTATTTTTAGCTGTTCTTCCACAGTTTCTGCGAGGATGACTGTTTTCGTAAGCATATATTCTCCCTATGAGATAAAATAGCAACCCAAGATCGAAAGAACGGAAGAAAAATATCGTAAAAGAACATACATTTATAGTATGCATAATGGTAAATACAAAAACATTGTCTATAAGCAAGGAATACTTGGTTCTCTCTCAATAATTCATATAATATACATTTCACATGGACAAACAATTCGAAAATCAAGAAGTAACCGCATTCTAACATCAATACAAGTGCTGTGCGACGTAGCAGAAAGCTTCACGTTAAGCGAAATAAATGATATAATAAAAAGTAGACAATAAGGAAGAAAATGACCTCTTATGTAAAATCAACCATCCATCTCGTGTTCAATTGTCTTTTGTTCCATTGAAAACTACCGCCATTATAACCAGTCCAGTTAACCGAGTGCACAATGCGATACCCCTCGCTACAAAAGATCGCGAACCCCGTCCATAATGGAGGACAATTCAAAGGGCTCCGTTTTTTAGTTTATTAGTGGAAACTTTTTTGTTTAGCATATTAGCAAGGAACTTGCTATTATTTGTTATCGTAGATATATTTATATACATACATATACATAATGCAAATGCTTGAGTCATCTACTTCGGCTAAAATTGTTATTACAGCAAAACATGTTATCGCAGAAAACGCCGGGTAACAAAAAATGACTCTGTGATTGTTCAGCTGTTGTGTGTGAAGGTCAATTTTTTCACGAAACAACTAATTGCAAATGACCATTGTTTGGTAATGGTTATTAATAAAAACAGAAATAGATAAAAGTCAAAAAGAAATTCTAATACCAACCAGATATAAAAAGAAGCAATGGATGACGGAAGAAATTTTAGATTTAATGGAAGAAAGACGTCAATATAAAAGCAAAGATAATTAGATGTACAAAAAAGTGGATAAACAAATAAAATATAGAATTAGGAAAGCTAAAGAACAATGCGCATAAATAGAAGAATACCAGAAAAGACATGATAGTTTTAACACACATAAAGAATTAACTCACAACAATAGAACAAGAAAACCGGGAATACTGAAAGATGCAAATAGTAGATGGACAGAATACATCAATAACTGTTCAAAGACATAGAACAGAGCAGATGGAGCAGAAGTAGAAGAGAATATGGTTTAAAGATAATAAAAGAGGAAATTAAATGCATTAAAAAACAGCAAAAATGGTAAAGGTCCAGACCAAATCCCTATAGAAATCTTAAAATGCATAAATGATGAAACCTTAGACATTATAGTAGTAGACTTATTTAACTCAGTATATAAAACAGGATATATACCGAAACAATGGTTACTCTCCACCTTTTGTGCTATCCCTAAAAATACAAACGCTAAATATTGCAGTGAATACAGGACAATATCACTAATAAGTCACATTCTCAAATCATTCTTGAAAATAACACATTGTCGTATAAATAAAAAACTGGAAGAAGGAATAGACGATAGGCAGTTTGGGTCAGAAACGGACTAGGAATCAGAGAAACGTTATTTGTTTTTAATGTGTTAGCTCAAAGATGCATTGATATGAATGTTGATGTGCTTTGTTTGCCATCTTCCTCTAGTTAGGAGATGCGTTTTGGTTTGTGTTTGGAAAACAATGTGTAGTTCCACATCTAGAATAATTTATACTAAGAAATAGTGTCAACGTTAAGGTAATATTAAAAATAACATCTTTAATTATGATGATTGTAAAGAATGTTTTTCCATTACAGCAAGTTCTGATGAAGCCCAAATTATGTGGCGAAAGCTTGACTTTTAATAAAAGACACTCACTTTGAAGCACCCGTTTTTTATTGCTTCCTTAGTATTGGGTCGTTCCCGGTTACCTTCAACTGTCTGTTGTTTTACCAGTAGCCCGTTACTGTCCTCGACTTTTGGGCGGCACACGCCCTTCCGGTAGGGATCTATGGAGGAGTATCACCGAACCACAAGCCCTTATCTTTTGCCGTACTGCTCCAACATAGGCCGATCAGATACCAGCATATTCTAGACTAAGCCGCAGATTCATTTAGAATTTTAAACTGCTGCGTTAGCCTTTTGTTTCTGTACACCGAGCTGGGAATTGAACTGACATTCTCGCATTGAAGCGAAGGAGAAGCCAGCCGCCAGCCCGCTTGGCTATCCGATCGACCAAGAAAATACCAAAGAATGATCACTTTTTAAATAAATTACGTTATTGAGTTCAATCGTCTTATAAATTTTAATCAAAATTAAGTGCTATATGTTAATGATACCGATCGCCCTCCTCTTTCTACGCCATTGCTTATGCACCCGACCTGTTGCACGTCACACTGCGGACACCCGCTTTACATAATCGAATTCTCGTCAAAAGTATCGAAGATTTCTGATCTTTTTCTATAAAAATAAACTATCATAATTAATCCGAATGATCATCACAAGCTTTTATTTGCTGGAAATGTGCCAAACAACGAATTAAATCGTCTATCTCGGTCTAAAAATAAATCAAAACATGTGGCGATGTACGACTTTTTAGTTTTCTACTTAACCGGCCGGCAACTGCGTAGTTAAAGTGGTTAAAAAATTGTCCTTAAGATTTTTTTGTTCATATTCTGAATGTTGTGTAACAAGGAGAGTGATATTGCTATTCTGGTTCATTGTTATGCGGGTGGTAAGTGCTGGTGTTGTGGAACTATGTGTTTAACACGTGGACTACCACTTGTTTAAACGTATAAAGACAAGTCTATTTCTTGTGTTTTAGTTCGTTTTTTATTATATTAAGTTTTTATTTCAGTCCATAGATGGCTCTTTATACAAATGATGGTTATTTATTATGTTAAACACTTTGTATGTTTGATTCTGTGCAAAATTGCCTGTTTTATCTTGCTACATTTGCCCTCTTTGCTTAACCATAACACAATATCTTTCGGAGACAGCTTATGCTACGATATCTTTCTTCTTCTTCATGTGCCATCTCCTCTAAGAAGGTTGGCATCCATCATGGCAATTCGCACTTTCGACACCGCTGCTCTAAAGAGGTCAGCAGAAATGCAGTTAAACCAAGCTCTCAATTTTTTTAACCCTAAGATGCGTCTTCTTTCGCGACTCCTACCCTCTATTGTTCCTTGCATTATTAATTGCAATAGGTTATAACGCTCGCCCCCTCATGACGTCCAAGATATTGCAGTTTTCTGACTTTAATTGTATTTAAAACCTCTTTTTTCTTTTCCTATTACGGACAAAACAACACGGAGAACACGAAGCATCTCAGAAGTCTTATCTTTAAAGAAATTGAAATGTCCCTGCTGCAGGGTACTTTTTTCAGTTTGTTGAAAGAAGTTCTTGCCTGTCATATTCTTGCCCTAATCTCTTCTGTGCTTTTGTAATTACCATAAATTGTCTTTTTTTGTGTTTAGGGACAGTTCGTTTACTTCATTGACTTCTACCGCGCTGTCAACCATTTGTTATAAATCCTCAAGACATTCCGCTAATAAAATAGTGTCGTCGGCCAATCCTATATTATTGATTGGTCGGCCATTTAATTTTATTCCCATAGTTAGCTCTTCTAGAGTTTCCTGGATTATTTCTTCTGAATACAAATTGAACAAAGTAGAAGACAGAACACAGCCCTGCCTAAAGCCCCTACCAATCTGTATTTCATTTGAAAAAACGTTGTTCTCTTATACCACAGCGATCTGGTTATAATAGATAGCGCTAATGATCCTGATGTCTTTCATATATAAGTTTTTCTTTTCAAGTAATTCGATAAGACGGTTATGTTTGAGCTTATCGAAGGCTTTGTTGTAATCCAAGAATCACATACGCGATATCATACTGGTTCTATAATCTTCTCATTTCCAATGTTGAAATTCCAGTTTTGTACCTCTATTCATTCTGTCATTTGTACTACTCTTATAGTATGTCATCGCCAAAACCCCTATGAGTTATCACAGTAAATTTATCTGCAATTCGAAGATTTTTTATTGCTGCCTTTTTTAACATAAAAAGCTAGTCATAGTTTGGGACTCTTCGATTTGATCGGTTTTTCACCTAAAGGGATTCGTTGTTCTCGTTATCAAGTGAATAAAATAAGTACAGGGGCTAGGACGTGGTCATACATCGATTGAAAATCATCCACGTGAAGAAAAAGATGAATATTTGGTCCATTTATTGACTCTATGAAATTAAATGGACTACACAGACAAATAAATACATTTTTTTCAATAGAAATTAATTGTTTTACTACTATCTCATGAATTTTGGTTATATTTGCATTATCAATACAGAAGTAATTAAATTTTCCACACAAACAGTACATTTCAGGTATGTTCATTCAAATTTGTACTTTTCTGTATTTATAGCTTCTCAATATCTGATGAAGGTGTTTCCACGTGGTTACTACAATCATTTACGATCAAAACCACTGTATATCACATCGTATACATGTTTCCGAAATAGTGTTACGAAAACCACAAAATTAGAATTGCTAATTTAAAAAAAAAAACATTAATTGAAGGACGCTCAACTGGTTTAGATACAAGAAATTAAATCATCTTGCGTTTATATAAAAAACATTTTTATAGCACCTCAAGAATATGGACTAATATAATTTCTATTATAGACACTAGTGACACTACAATAATGTGTCTCTTAAACACCTTACATTGGCTTAAGATGGCTATAATATGTTTGGCTTTGTTTGAAATTTTATCCGACAATTAGCAAAAAACTTTCCGAAAGATCATGCCGAAAGATCAAACAAAGCTTTTATTTTCTAACTACCCATTTATTTCCAATAATACCATCTACAAATGTAAAAATATTAAACAAGAAAAAAATTGTTACCAAAAAGATACAATGTAAAGAATCTTTCAATTTTACATCTTTCAACTTTACGTTCATATTCCAGTAGCTTGTGTTGTCTTTGCCCCAGTTATCAACTACCTTTCAAATAACAAAAACCGGTTAGAGAGAAACCAGATGCACATTTTTCGCCGGGTACAGTGTGTGGAGTATACCTTTGTTGTGAAAAATCTACGTGGGTAGGTAAATGTTACTGTAAAACGTGAATTGTACAGTGTGAGTCGCGCACGCGAGATAAGATGCAAATAGGCAGTTTCTTTTATAAATATATGTATAAGAATTACTTCGTTCACAATGTGGCTTTCTCCATTGAAATTGCCTAGTATAAAGGTATGAGCAAAAATTGGTTTGTGAAGATTATTTATTTTCTTTTCTAGAAGAAAATTATTTTACATATTTAGTGGATGTTTAAATTTGATTACAATGTTGTAAATATCTTGTTTCTCTTCCACATTTTTATCCTATTATCCTCTTCATTTCAAGGTAGTATCTTTTCTTAAAAATATTTGTGCAATATGAGTGAAATAAAGATTATTGGTGGAATAATTCAAATCATAACAATGGTATATTTGCGATAAGACAGTAGAAGGTTCAGATTTTGAGGTTTTGATAGTTCTGCTTGAAGATATAGTGCGGTGGCTGGTTGTTCCGGTAATACATTTTACTTACTGATACCCCCTCTCTTACCGCTTGCTTACATTGATAACTGATGTAGAATAGCTTTTGTAATTACTCCTTCTAATGAACTGATACATCACTATTCAAAATAATTAAAAAATCACACTCTAGTAACGAACTGCTTCCCAACTAAAACGCTTCGCATTGGCATCCGGTCGGTTGTAAAAAGGAAGGGAGCAGACGTCGCCATTTCTTTATGTTAATGATACCGATCGTCGTAATGATACCATCGTCATTTCTTATAGTAGCATATTCAGTTCTTTTATTATTTTTTTGATAGTTCTATTTGATCGATACGGTTTGTTAATTTTGGTCTTTTTTCTTACAGATTGCAACGGCATCGTAATCAACAATGGTGACAGCATCGGGGGTTGCAACGGGGGCGGGGGCAATGGCAGCGCCTCCGACAGCGGCGATCAGATGGACGCTGAAGCTCGCGAAAGAGAACTAGCCCGACGCAAGGAGGAAGCCAAGAGAAGGAGGCGTAAGAAGAAGCGAACCGGATCTTCATTGGTGTCATCATGTTTTCAAGGTAACTATGTTTTCCTACTTCGTTAGTAAGTTCCCATCGTTGATTCCGTATAGCTCTTGTTAGACATGTTTTTCCGTGTCCCTAGTCACTAGTATCTCTGTTTCACTATTTCATTCGGTGGATAATGCCTATTAGCATTATTTGTATTTGAGATTTTTATTTGACTTAACCTTATATAATGTGGTATTATCTTGCAAAATAAGATTTTAATTTATAATACACCGCTTCTTTATCTTCAAGGACACGTTTTACAATATTAAAAAATGCGTAGGCAAAAAATGTGCGGGCAAAATTTCGTCATATTTACCAGATACTCGTTATATATAATATAATTCAAGTTGCAGACTTGAATGGTTATCTTAACGTAAAAAAGTGTTTTGTAGATAAGTAATAGATAATTTTTATTTGGGAACTGAAGACGATTGTTGATATTAAGTAGAAAATAACGATTTTTCTAGATTTTATTTTACTTATGAAGTTCGTTTACATTCAACAATCCAATGGTTATATACTTTTTTATTATTATTAACACCCATTTTGATAAAACATTAAATTTTGATAAAAAATACGTTATTGAGATTACTATTACACTCTTTATTACTATAATACACATACACACCTTCAATGATGTCAAAGAGCTTCTAAATATTTTTTCTAATCTCATAGATTCTTCAATTCACATATACTCTTAATTTTTTCAGATCTGTATAAATTGACCGGTGAAGTTCTGGGAGAAGGTGCTTACGCTAGCGTTCAGACTTGCGTGAGTCTGTTCACCGATCAGGAATTTGCTGTGAAAATTATCGACAAGGTACCAGGTCATGCTAGAGCTAGAGTTTTTAGGGAAGTAGAGACGTTCCATCATTGCCAAGGCCACCCCAATATTATTCAGTTAATGGAGTTTTTCGAGGACGAAGAAAAGTTTTATTTGGTTTTTGAAAAGGTAAGTTTTTTTTTAATAATCTAACATAACTTTTTAACAGTCTCAAAAGCTTGATACTTATTAGAATCATTCATATTATAGTCCTCTGCACATAACGAACTACCACAAATCTCGAAAAAAAAAACCTCGTTTCATTTGCTATGTAGCATGTTTGGATTCGATCAGTTGTTTATTTTGTATTTAACTAGAGGCCTTATTTAAGTCAATAAATCAAAATTTTCCTATAATATCTCGTATGTAACTATTTATATTCAGTTTTTTCTAACTTAATATAATCGCTGTCCCCTCTCCTTTCATTTAACGCATCACGCGCTCCAGTCGAACCAATAACAACGGAGATATGACGTAATGCCCTTTTGGCAATGACGCAAATTTGTCAATTTTTGTTTTTTGTACTAGCAGTCATTGTACTAGTTACCCTCTCTACCTCCCCTTTCCCCACAAGACCTCATACATCATGATCCATCGAGCCGTTCTCGAGCTATGTGACTTTGCGACCAACATAACTCTAATATCTTAGTGAGAGCGCCCACCAAAGTGGCGTGGCAGTGGCAAGCAGCAAGTAGCACGCGTCTAGCATAATGTAACCAATCCAAACGAATGATTAGAATGAATGACGTCACTGTCATTTTGGTGTAAACTGAATAATTCGTTTTCATTGGTTACATTATGCTAGACGCGTGCTACTTCCTACTTGCCACTGCCACGCCACTTTGGTGGGCGCTCTCACTAAGAGTCATCTAGGCCTGTTCTTGTCATACAATTTCCTAAAACTTAGATATTACTCTATTATCGATCTGTAACGGTCTTCACAGTTTTTGTGCGAACATAAACACTTTTGATACGAAGCCAAAAAGTGAAGATGTTTCTTTTGATTACGATTAGGTAAGGTTATTCATTTGCATGCCTTTAAAGTTATCATGATTAGTCATATTTACTTCCTTAAAACTATTTCATATCTTCCGTACAACTATTCAGTATGGCCTTACATTGGAAAATATTTTTATACAAAGTATACAACCACACCTAAACGTCCAAAATGTAGGATATTTTAAAAAAATTCATGAGATACAAAATTTTTTTACCATCATTCAATGTATATTTCTTTTCTTTTTGTGGTACTTGTAAATTGTAAATTTTATTTTTCGGTCATAAAGGTCTTGGGTCAATGCAAACTCCACCAATTGTAAATCTCATATATGGCATTCTTTATTAGTTCACTTCTGTTTTTTCCTTCACGAGAACATGATGTTTGACACAATTTCCTCTTTCAGATTAACGGAGGTCAGCTCCTGCGAAGGATCCAGGAGCACAAGTATTTCAGCGAAGCCGCAGCGGCAGAGATAGTGAGAGAAGTGGCCTCAGCCTTGCAGTTTATGCACGCCAAAGGGATTGCACACAGGGATTTGAAACCTGAGAACATTCTTTGTGTCCACAGGGACCAACTTTGTCCGGTCAAGATCTGCGATTTCGATTTAGGATCTGGCATCCGCTTCCAATCCAGCGTTTCCAGTCCTCTAGCGACACCTCAGTTATTAACACCTGTAAGTATTTTAAAATGACTTGTCAAATCTTCATTTATATCTCTATTACTGACATCAGTTCTCTTCAGTTCTGCTGTATACTAAAACTTTATGAGACTGCACAAAAAATAACAATAGTGTTAAATAATAATGTACCTACTGCCTAAATTAAATCTCAAGTAAATCTATTAAATATTATATAGTCCACTCTTATATTGTCGAATCTAAATAAGGATTATGGCTGAATCGAAAAATATTGTGGACAGCGAAGATTTGCGCAATACCAGTGGTAAATAAGACCCTGTAAGTAGCAACAATAAGGTGTCTGGCAGGCGAAGAAAGGAGAAATAAAAAAATTTAAAAAATAAGATAATAAGATAATTATACCATTACAGTCATTCGACCAACAGAGGTGGTTATATTTTTATTAGCGAAAAAATACCTTATTTAACAGTTTCGGGGATTACGTTTAACAAATAATGAATCTAGACCGGGTTAGCAGTACGTACTCTTTGCGGGCAATAAATTGCATCTTAAGGGATCATTATTTAGAATGTTTCTAAGAAGAAAATATCTAGCTCAAACGGAACAGTGGGAAAAAGTGGTCATAAAAAAATGTCGAAATCGAAATGATCGAACAAACGTGAAAGCTTTTTGATTCATTACAATACTGAATGTTTTTTATTTGTTTCAGGTGGGCAGTGCTGAATTTATGGCACCGGAAGTAGTAGAGGCATTCATCGGAGAATCGGAAACCACATCATACGACAAGAGGTGCGATTTATGGTCTTTGGGCGTCATCATGTACATTCTGCTGTGCGGATACCCGCCGTTTTACGGAAAGTGTGGTAGAGACTGTGGCTGGGAGCGAGGCGATAACTGCAACGCCTGCCAGGAACTTTTGTTCCAGAGCATCCAGGAAGGACGATATGATTTCCCGGAGCCAGAATGGACGACCATATCGGATGAAGCGAGGGACCTCATCTCGTGTCTGCTGGTGAAGAACGCCAGCGAGCGCATCAGCGCGGAAAAGGTGCTGCAGCACGCGTGGCTGCAGTGCGCAAGTGATACGGCTGCGCTAACTACCCCAGCTGTTATCAAGAAGAACAACTCCGCCTTGGAACTGTCCCAGTTCGCGGAGTCCGCAATGGCTGTGAATAGAGTGGTGCAACAACACTTCAGCATGAAATTGGACTACTTGGAGAGACCGAACGTGTATCCTCCAATGAAGACGTGCGCATCGGCGAAAATGTTCGGCCTGAGCCCGCCCAGCGAGAGCAACCTCATGCGCAGGCGTATCAAAGGCGGCTCTTGTCAGTTCCTCGTGCCAGCGCCCACACCCGCCATACCCAGTCCAAGCGGTTGATGTTGCCCAACTCGTCAAAATGTTTTAAAATTTTGAAAACTAATTTTTTCTTTTTCGATTTTTTTTGGCATTTTTACAGAGAGTTGATTCGGTTATTTGTGTTGTGTTCTGTTTTATGATCAACAACACAACAAGTTACTGTTGTTTATTTTGTATTTTTCTATTGTAAAGCTGGATGGATCGAAATATTGAGGCATTACAAATATTCATAACTGATACACCCGAGTACCTTTAGATTTCTCGCCAAATCATCAACTCGATATTCACCTATCAATAATACAGTTAGTTCTCGATATTAAACAAAGTTCACGAAACAAAATAGATCTGCTAATATAATTTTGACAATGACAGTTCTCTTGTTACCAATCAAAAGTCTCTCCGGCGAGAATCTTAATAAAAACAAAAGCAGCTCAAAATATTTCACACTTTTTATTGACAATAATAAATAGATATTATTTATTAATATTTTCCGATAAAAATTAGCAACTGCACCAACATAATCCTTAAGAATTCGTTTATTAATTTTCAAAATAAAAAGATCCATGTATTCGTAGTTCTTGTGTTTGAAGTAAGCACTTTTTTTTCCTAGAAGTTCTATTTTTCGTACTATTTTTTTATTATTTAGTATTACGGATCAGTTTTTTCATATATATTTCTAAGCAAAACAACCACTTCAACTAATTTATAGGTTAAAAACAATCTTTCTTGTTAGTTTTGTTTCAATCGTGTCACTAATAATTTTTGCGGCACTTAACGTGTTAAAAGAAACCACGAAACGTGGATGCGTGCCAATAAATCAAAAGGTTATAGGAAAGTACAGAAGAGGAGGAAGGAAAAGTATAATTTAGCTACCAAATATTCCAATATGTGCTAACATTTTCAGCATCAAAACTGTTTGACTGAGCTCTTGTAGCATGTAGTTATCGCAAATACTAATTAGTAAGCTTTAGCTAAGGTTTACGGTAGTTTAGGAGGAATATATTTGATATTGAAAGTTACTACTTAAGGCAGAACATCAAGGACACTCTACAGACAGACAATCAGCAAAACTCTAGCAACAGCAATTGGTAAATTGCAGATGATCTTCGTTTATGTTATCTTTTATGATAAAAAACGAAAGAACTCGATAATTTCATGTAATAAATGTCATAAGTCACTTGTGTCATTTGTCACTTATAAGTTGTCTGTCTGTTACAAGAGATGTCGCTGCGGTAGCAAAAGTTACAAAACAAAACCATTAAGTCTTCTAAATGTTACAAATAGGGGGGATATAATGAAAAATTTTTTTTTATATAATGAGTAAATTGTGGTTGATACGAATGTTCAAATTTAATTATGTAGAATACTGTTTAAAGCGCAAAAAACGTTTAACGAGATCTTCTCTAGAGCCTCATAGATTAGATCAGCTGAATCTTCATCAACATCGTTCGTCTTTGCAGCGAAGAGTCGCGATAAATTTGTAAATATTTAGTATTAAGAACAAATAAGAAGTATTTAATAGAGAGCGAGGCTAGTATATGAGATTCTGCTGTAGATTAAGTTTTGCTTAATAACTTTTTAGGTTAAGTATAAAACAATTGACAAGGTGGCAATGCGTTCGGTTCAAAAAATGGGAGGGTTTGGTATTTATTGTTCAATGAAATGCCTGAAACGTCGACACACAAATAAAGAAGGTATCTACTTTATATACCTGTATTTTTTTCTACTTAAGTTTCCTTTTCGGCTAAATTTCATTAGAACAAACATTTGGGCAAGTTTTCTCGAACGCATTGTATAGCTGCCCGCGATAAAGGTTGTGATATGAAAGTACCCTTTATCAAAAAAAGTATTGCTATCAGTTAGGCCATGTTTTGATGATGCCTCAATATCCATTGATGGTTCAGCTGTGGCCTAGATATATATCGCTTGATTTTTTAATACTTTTGTATGTGTTAAAATGTAGATTGATACCAGTCTACGATTTGTGATAATAAGTAAGCTCTGACGTGCGATTAGAACGCACGATAGACTGTAGACGCCGTACCTGCTTTCATTTCAGTGAGATACGGAACATTTGAATGAAAGGGGCTTAGAAAAAGCCCTTGGGACCCAAATAATACACCAAACAATAGCATATGCCGAAATAAGTAATAACATTTACATACTCATTTAAAATGGAGACTTTGACTTCATTTGTCACTTTAAATATGACAGATGACATAAGAGCAGTTATTTTTATGTCAAATCGCTGACTTATTGGTGAAATATGCTATTATTAGGTGGCTTATGTGTGGTTCTTCTACGTACTGACAGTCCATTTGTATTTAAGAGTCCTATATAAGTTTGGATATTTTTTTAAGATTTTGTAATGCTCAAGGTTAGAAATTTCCTTATATGATTGGAATGGTATCCAAACCAGGGCGCGATAACGCAAGTACCAAATCGGTGCGTAAACAACAAAAAAACGCTCGTTGTACTATAAAAACCAATCCTCTTAACTTAAACCATTATATCATCAATCCTACTTAAGTAAACCGCGTGTTTTGTTGTTTATACCGACTTTAACATTGTTATCTTCACGTTTAAGGTAAACTACAAGATAAAAAGCTTGAAACCATCTTGAAAAGATTTTTTTTTAACTTTATTTTCTCAGTAAAATTCAAGTTTACAATAAACGTGAAGAAAATAATTGTATCATCCCAGTGCATTGGTATTTGTCACTTCCAACTCTCAGGGTTGCAAATGTGCGGTGGTTCAAGTTGGACCATCTCTGAGGAGTAAATGTTTCTGAAATGAATGTGATATAATAATGTGTGAATGATTTCCTAAAAAAACGTAGATTCCCCCTACAAGATTGGAGTATTGTTTTTTTCTAAGATTACTATAAGGCATTTATTAATGTACTTTCACAGTACCATCTGTTTCCAATCAGTTTATACCAAAAACAAAAAAAAGCAAATATATAAAAAGTATATTTCATGGCGGAGTTGCTGTGAGTGCCATTATTTCTATTATGCGGGCTAGTCAGTTGGTAAAATATCAGTATTTATATCAGAAAGTACAGTTTTTGTTACTATATATCACCCTGTACGTAAATAATATTTAAACTTCCATCAATTGTGCGGTGTTGTCGTTTTTGATTTGTGGCAACGTTGCAGTTGCCATTTTTTACTTCAAACTCTAATTTATATCAACGTTTGGAAAATATTTGGTATTTTGCAAATGACTAGCCGGTATTTGTTACGTCCAAGTCTGTACGGCCGTTACCAATGGTTGTGGTCCGTACAGGATTGGTCGTATACGAGGAATTATAATATTGTTAAAAAATTTGGTTATAACATCGTTTTTTACTACAAGCAAGTTGGCATTGGGTAAAAATAGTGATGGAAATTTATGTACCAAGTGTGCTTTAATTTCTTAAAAATAAAGACCGATTTTTTTACAAACGATTTTTTATTTTGTACCTTTATTTGGAAAGCTAATCACACTTTCGATCCCTATTTGCTAAAGGTGACGATAACGAACCACCAACACCAGAGGTGACGACAAACGAAGAAATACATATTGAGGAGGAAGGGGTAAAGGAAGCATTAAGGAAATTAAAAATAGAAAGTCACCAGGAAAGGACTACCGAAAGAACTCCCTAAAGTACGGAGGATCAGATCTGACCAAACAACTATTAAATCTAATCCAAAAAATAATAAGAGTTCCTCAAAAATAGAGATCAAGCATCCTAATACCTTATTCAAAGAGAGAAACAAATTGGACCCGGAAAATTACAGAGGAATTTATTAAACACTACACTAAAATTAACAACCAAAGTGAATAATAAATAATCAAAGTAATAACAGCATTAAAAGAGGAATGAAAGTAAGAAAGTTATACTCTATAGTGGCGGATGCACTTATCGAAATAGAAATTCAACCATGAGCAATGCGTTATTAAATTTAGCCATAACAAATAATGTAACATTAGAACAAAAGTTCTTGGAAGTTAGCCATACTCAAATGGAAACTGACAGTATGCACGCATCCATTGAAAGACCGTTTTAGGTGGACACATATATATGCCATAATTAAAAAAAAATTGGCGGATTCACTGATATAAGAACGATGCAGATCCGATAATAAATAAAGGAATTATACGTCTTTATTTATCTGCCTCCTCAATCATTTGGTGCAGCTCTGACCCTTCAAAGAAAACTTCGACTACAGGTTTGTCTCACCTCGATCAGATATGTGCAAAAAATGTGATGTCTTAGATAACAAACTCAAATGAACGAAAAGTTTTAGCAGCGGAAAAAAAGTTGCATGAAATTAAGACCGATTTGTTTTTCAAGAAGCTGAAGGAGAAAACCACATTGTGCAAGCATAGCGATGAAGTGGAGGTTTTGACTTCTGACTTTCAACAAAACCTTCCACTTCAAAAAATTCCTGCTGGGGAAGCTTTTTAAAAACGCCAGTTGTGGACTTAAAACTTCTGCATCTATTCTTGTAAGACAAATTAAGCACACTTTTACATGTATGATGAAACTACGGCTCGAAAGTCACCAAACGACGTAGTGGCATTTTTGTACCACTATATAAAAAATATACTCCCTAAAAATGTTAAAGTTTTATACCTTTCCTCCGATATCGCTGCTGCGCAAAACAAAAACTCAGTAATGATTCAGTTTCTGTATTTGCTGGCGAGAACTACGCCTATAGACAAGATAGAGCACCGCTTTCCTGAGCCAGGACATTGCTTTCTTCTCTGTGATCGCTGCTTTGGAGTTATTGAAAAGTTTTTAAGGAAGAAGGACTACGCCCCCAACAATATGCTGATTTTGTTAAACAATCATCCAAACTGTTTATGTCCATTCTGGTAAAACAAAATATGATCCTGAACTTTAGTGGTCACTATGAAGGACTATAAAGTTATCTCAGATGCAGAAAAGCAAAGATTCCAGATTTCCAAATACCGAATTTTTCAGTATAGCAATGAACATTTAGATGATATTAAAGTCAGTATATCTACTGGCCTTCCGAGTTTTTACTTATTCCAAATCTTGAGAAACCTTGACAGCGATGTCTCAGTTTCTTCTGATATTCCTGTCTATTGCAATCCTATACCTGTCAAAAAGCCAAATATGCAGTTGGCAACACGATTCGTTCTTATGGACCAAATGGCTTTGTACATCCGTCTCACAAGTGATGCAGCCATGGCAGAGAACCAGAAATCCGAATCATCTTGAACGGATGATGACGACCAGGTAGGTGAATGAAGGATGTGTTTGCCCGCGTGTTTAATGTTTTATTAATTTTTTTTTTGACACAAACCTGTTTCTTTTTACAGATTGTTTCGTATTTGTGTATTAGGCAAACCATAGTCGTTTAATTGTTGTAACCGAATAAGAGTTTTTGTTTGTAATTTTTTTTTTTCAAAAATGATGGTAAAGAAGCATTATTTCACGTGTTTGGTGCATCTTTTTTTCTGTTTATTTTATTTTTTCAAAAATTTTCTACTTGAAAATAGTCTCAAGTCTTGACTAAATCTGTTTGTCATCGATTGATATTATGTCTTTCGGGTTAAAATAAAAACTTTTATCAAAAAAGTTTTTTTCAATTTTCAAACTCTCTCTAATAATACTCACACTAAAGCCATCGCAGAAATTTTCCTTTTTTTAGCTTTAAAACGGCACTAGTACTGGAGTTTGCTCCTTTCTAATGAAACGGAACAGAGGTCTCAATCTGCCTACTCCTTAGTCTCGAGTGACGATGTAGATGAATAATGTAGAAAATACATAGCATCTGATGATAGATATTTTGGTACTATTATGTTAGTTAGCAAGATATGTGTAGCTATTTACTCTGTCAATTGGCTGTTAATTTACCAAAAGATGTGTATTTAATATTGTAGCATTTGCAATTTCATTGATTCTTTGGTATATATTGGAATTACCTCGTATATGTAATATATTGAAATCCACTCATATATGTTTGAAAAATCGAAGAATATTTTTAATGTATTTCAGTTTTCTATCGTACAAGTTAAAATACGCAAAAAGTATTTTCAATTCCTCTTAGCGTCGCCAAGTAATATAAACCATTTTAGAGTTGTTTATTTATTTCGCAGTTGCGTATTTTCCTCTCGATAATTCTTTGATTTCGCATTTTAATTCCTGTCAAGTGTTTGTTACTCCAAGTTAAGTGAATTAATTTTAAAGATAATTTCATCACTGTCGTTGGAGCCGCGATCAAAAGCGGTTCAGTGTTATGTCCAAATTCATGACGAATTTGAAAAGTTTTCTGTTTTTACCCCCCTTTCATAGACAATGTGTAGCAGTGTGAAGTTATTGGTTCAGTTAAATTTTTGAGTGAGGATTGGAAAAATCGTCGTTTCCATCCTCGTTTTGTTTCATTCTGGTTGTCATCAAAGGCTTTTTGGCAGTATGGAGATAGATTTGTTCGTGTGTTCGTTGCACAGAGTGAAGCCCAGGTCTACCCCCAGTTATGGTTCCAGAAATTTTAGTGCAATTTTTTGTTGAATTCAGTTAACTTTTTTAGTGATTAAATTTAAAGTAAAGACAGACATTTATTTTAAATAATTGCTATAATAAATTTAAAAATTGTAAATTTTAGGTTTTGAGTTTAGCTGTCATTTTAAACTTTTCTGTTTTAAATTTAATGTTAACATAGGACAGCTCGCTTTATTATTTTCGACATTTATTTGTTTAGTTTGTTTTAAAAAAAGGTTAACCTCTGTAAGTTTTTGTAGTATCTCGCAACTCCTAGAGTATGTAACCGGATAACATGTATATCTGATATGCACGACATTATTGCTTGTAAACCATCCAGGTTATCTGCAAAAACTACTGCGTCGTCAGGATATCTAATGCTGTTAAGACGCCTTCCTGTAGTTGTTCCAGTGATTGCTCGAAGACATGCTCCCAGTACATGTTAAATAGCACTGGAGACAGAATGCATCCTTGTCTCACTCCTCTATCTATGCAGATCGTCTCTGCCAACTGGTTATCCATTTTAATGTTTGTGTATATGATTTGATTGTTCTATTTGTTTCCGGTTGGTGCTTTATCTTTGCTGATCTTCATATAGTTTTCTTAATATTAAAATAATAATAGTGACAAAATACACCCTTGTCGTACTCCGTGTTTAACCTTCATAGTAGTTTCTGACAATTCTTCATCTAAATTTATTTCCACTGGCTGGTTCCAATACAGATTTAGTTATTCACAGCATGGATCTGGTATGACTACTACTGTTTTAACAATTTCTATTCATTTTTCATGTCTAACGCAGTCGAGCGCCTTTTTGTAGCCTATAAAGCAGGCATGTAGGTCTGCATGACATCTATTCAGTGTTGGAATAATACTTGGATAGTGAATAGTGCATAGCTTGTACCTGATGCTTCCCTAAAACTAAACTGCGATCAGCACAGTTTGCGTTTCTATTAGTTTGTGAACTTCTACACCATTTAAACTACGTCAAATAAATGAACAGTAATACTTTACTTTTATTAAGGCACTTTTAAGTCATACAAAAAGAAACCTATACAATTCAAAAAAAAATAATAAATAATAACATCCTTAGAAAAATAAACGAACATTTAATAGATCGTTAAATATAATCAAAATCAAAATTGAACGTTTATGAGTATAATCGACACTCTTAAACGTATTTACTTACATTGAATGAGACAAAATGTTACAAGATGTAATAATTAGCATTATTTTTGTTTCAAATAATTTGGAACTACCTTTCAAGTTTTTATAAATGATCGCTAGACGGCGCTACTGATAGATGGCATTAGTATGTCAACATAATTTGATAGTTTTTGGAACAAAAAAGCAACATGTGACATGACAAATTGCAGGTGAAAAAAATGTATTATAATTAAAAAAAAACAATCTAAAATTTATGAGTGAATGTACAAGTGGAAGATTTTCATTTCAAAGACTTTGATTTTGTGAAAACTTAAAAAATTGCAGATAATTTGCAAAATACGACATTAAAATTGAAGATTTGTTATTTTATAAACCATTTTTTCGGTAGTATTGAATGACATACCTTATTGAATTTCTTTGAGTCAGATTGACAAGTCTTTACTCTCTAGAAGACATTATTTTCCAAAATGTTATTGAAAGTTGACGATCCTCACAATGGCCGATTCCACTCTAAAAAGACCAATTATTTGACAAACCATTTTAACAAATTTATTTATTTGTTATTCATTTAATATACCTCTTAATGATGCTTTTGTTACCCCTTATCTTTACATAAAATGGCGAAGACAAAGATTCAAGAAGAGTCTATTGTAAATCTTCAAAGCAGCCTATGACAGTGTGAAAATAACTGCATTATATAATGCAATGATAGACTTTGGGATCCCACCTAAGTTAGTTAAGTTGACCCAACTAACAATGCAAAATGTAAGCTCATGCGTTAGAACTGAAGAAGAAAACTCTACGTTCTTTAACATTAACAATGGTCCAAGACAGAAAATTTGTTTGCATTGGTTACATTTTAAGTAACATGCTAGACGCGTGCTACTTGCCATGCCAGTTTGTGGGCGCTCTCATTTAGAGCTAGTGGATGCTTCAAAACAATTGCTAAAACAGTTTACTTATCAAATCGTTCGGTTTTCTTTAAAAACCACTTGTCCCACTCGCATAATAAACCATTCAAACAAATCAACTTACTTTCATATATCTAATACATCAGCTAATGATTTTTAACCCCCTCCCCCTTCCAATTTTACATAAACATGCAAGCAAACAGAATAGACAAGAACATATTGTAGATATCCCGAAAATACGCCTCATATTATGAGTGTCATTCCATGTTGATTTTTTTGAGGTTAGGGTCTAGTGACAAAGAAATAAGTAATATAACATTCTGATCATTTCAGAACAGAGGCAGGTGTCAGGCAATGATGCATAATCTCACCAACTCTATTTAATATCTACAGTGAACACATTATGCGAAAGGTACTAGACGGATGGAAGGGTGGAAAATCAGTAGGTCAAAAAATCAGTAACTTGAGATATGCTGATGACATTTTAATAATCGCGGCAAATCAAGAAGAAATGGAAGACATAATGAGATGTCTGGAGGAGAAAAGCAAAACATATGGACTAAAGCTAAATAGGAGTAAGACAAAGATCATGATAGTAGACAGAGCTCGGAATAATTTTCAGCACGTTAAAGAAATTGGGGCTTTGAAGTAGTAACTAGTAAATAGACCTGAGGTCCCTGATAACAAATGAGGGAGGGTGTGACAGAGAGATACATAGAAGGTTGACTATTGCTAGAACAGCTATGATGAAACTGGTAGAGTTGAAGGAAAGAGACTTAGGGGAAGATCTCCAAGCCGTTAGGTAGATCAAACAAAAATATTGATTAACCAAGGGTTACATGAAGCCGAAAAACTAAACCAAGACTAAGAAGGATGGAGGGAAATCGTGAAAAAACTGTAAAGACCTGATGGTGTCACCACATCCCAAAGGGATTAGGACTGAGGAGGAGGAGATCTCGAAAATACGCCTCATGTGATATAAGTGACGTCACGTGGTAATTTATTTTGAGGTTAGGGTCATGTAAATAAATATTAGAACTAGTAAATATTTAAAAACAATTAACAGTAGCAGTTTACGTAGCAAATTCTGAAGTTCTCTTTTAAAAACTTCTTCTTCCACTCAATATCCATATTATATAAATAATATGTCCCAAATAATGTCACAAAATCAAATTAAAACGAACTAGAGACTGGATACATTAATCGTTTCATTTCAAAACTTTTAACTTAAAAAGTAGACCCGATAATAACTATTTTGACAAAAAAAGTTAAATAAAAAAACAAAGATTTGTAAGTTCTTAGATGATTTTTTCGGTTATACTAAATGACATACCGTAAAATGAGGTGAATAGGAACAAAACTTCACTAAACAATAATAATCTTACCAAAAATATAATATATTATTTTCGTTGTGCTATTTAAGTTTTGTAGGTTGGCTAATGTTATATGGCTTTGGAAAATTTAAGTTTGTATTGTTGGCGTCACTGGTTCCTATGTTTTCGGCGTGCAAACAAGGTAATTAATTTTGAGGTTATTTCTCATCATAAAAACTTTCTTGGTAAGTACAAAATCTCTGTCTCAAAATAGATTTATGAGTACTCTTTTTTATGTATTCTATCCTTTACAGCAATCTAACATGATTGTATTTTGATTTATATGTTAAAGTTTTTTGTTAAAAACAAGTTTTATTGTTCACGTCAAGAATTTGAGATATGTGGGGTGAACCGGAACATAATATTGACCGTATTCCCATTCACACTACACATTAGAAATTACTTTTGTTTATTTAATACCTCCATAGAGTAAGATTTGTTTTTGTTAGTGGCTGCTCAATTTACTTTCTTATTGTAATCAGTGTTTTTTATTACAGGTTTTCGCAGATATGCATACAGTTGGATGGAGGGAGGTCCGAAAAACTCGTTTTAATCGTACCAAGTCAGGTTGGTTTGATAGTTTTTGTTCCAGTGACTCAGTTATGGATTCAAAGACCTAGAAGGGGAAAAATACTTGATTGGGGACAACTTGTCGTCTCACTTGTCAATCGATGTAATCCAATTATGCCAAGAAGAAATAATCAAGTTTATATTTTTACCAAGTGATTCCACTCACCTTACTCAACCCTTCGATGCGGCATTCTTCAGACCCATGAAGAATTATGTGGCGCAAAATAGTTCAGGAGTGGAAAAGAGGGCCAGCAGGAATGAATCCAGAGTAGCTAAAGACAAGTTTCCTAGACTATTAAAGAAACTGGTAGTCTTTCAGAGGAAATGCAATCAATGCAAATTTTAAAAAAATGTGGCATCATGCGTTTACATCGGACCAAAGTCCTAAGGAAACTGCCGAACTCAGACAATGATAATACCAGACAATCTGGAACACAAACACCCTTGTCAGGTTCTGTTCGTGTGGAAGGGATGAATGTCACTTTTAAAGAACTTTTGAATACATAAAGACAGTCTGATACTCAGAGACAAAAGAAAAAGAAAACAAAAATGAATGTCGAACCGGTAAAAAGTGTTGTGGCGACAGATTTAGAAGGGAAAGAGTTTGAACCTGAAGCAGGACCATCAGGAGTTGAGAACATAGAACTGAATGCCTCAAAAGAAGTTTCCAGTCGCACTAAAAAGCTAAAACGAGAATCTAGTGCTTCAGAAAACACTCTCCATGACAGTGACAAGGAGCTAGTTGTCATCTGATGAAGAAACGAACACTTGCGTTAACCCTGGAGACTTCTTAGTGTTCAAAATGTATGGCAAGACCAAGCAATCTTTCAGGCTGTACGTTACTAAAGTTCTCTATTATCAAGATGGCGGCTATGTACGAGTCTTTTTAAAGAAGGTTCCCCAGGCTTGGAAATTTTTTAAAATCTTTGGAAGAGGAAGCATTTTTTAAACCAGATGATATATTATAAGACAGTTGTCTGTATGTATAAACGTGAATACCTCGTCTCCGTTTAAAAACATGATGAGTTTTAACAATGATCTTAGTGATTTGTGTTTATATTAGCCGATCTTAAAAGTGTATTTTTCAGTTCAACAATAAATTTTTCCAATAAAATAAACTTTATATTTATATGTGTATGTTACTTTACACCTTATACACTTTTTTCCTGTTCCTATTGACCTTACAAATGTATGAATAGGAACGCAATAGTTTTTCATATTGTTTTGATTTTTTTTGCGATTAGAGTATTAACTTTTTAATTCTTTAACACCTGAATATCAAAAGGGGAAAGTAAGACCCAAATAACAGTGCATAAGTTTTATGTTTGCAACATGTGTTAGTGTCTTTTTGTCAGTTGAACTTTGGAAACCGTTCTTATTCACCCCATTTTACGGTACCGTACAGCTTAAGTTCTGACGTGTTTACTTTTTAAAAAAACATAAGTTATGCTTCTGTAATAATACAGTTTCTTACTTAAAGTTGATTGATTCGGAAATTTTTTTGCGGAAATTTATTCTATAGATAAAACACTGAAAACTATTGAAGTATTTCAATATATACGATTATTTATAAGTGGGCAGTGAATGTACGTAGGAAGTGAGACTTATTTGTCTCAAGTTGGTATTCAACTAACACCGAAAGAGCTATCTTGTGAGTTTAATAAAACATTCTATGAAAAATGCAGTTTTCAGTGTTCTATTTTCTTCTTACTTACATAAAAAATGACTATGATTAAGATCACAAGTTGGTTTTTAACAAAATAGAAAACAGAAATGACCGTCAGTCCCGGACGCGCATATTCCAAATGCTAGATCTTCTCATCCCCACGGTGGGCCTGGCTACGGAGCTAAATTTGAATTTGTTGATTTGTACTCTCGCGCCTAAAGTATCTTGTATGGCCTTAAGTTCGTCTAGGGCGTTGTAGCCGCCGTGGATGTCGAGGTAGGAAAGGCTGTGCAACTTTTTTAAGTGGCTGAAAGCAAAAAAAAAAAACAAATTTCATTTAAAAAAATACAGAGAGATTGCATGAAAAATTAAGTGCAATTAATCATTGGCCGTGATACGAATGCCTACCATCTGACCCGGGACAGTACAAACACCAATTTGTTAAAAAATGGCATGCCCTAGACGAGGTGTCTTGTTCAGACCATCGAGAACAGGTAATGAGCACATCAAGGAAACTCGTAATCCTCGTAAAACAAATTGGCAAGCATACCTGGAATATTATTTAGGTAAGATTAAAGGGACGATAAAGCATACATTGAACGTAGATATGGCCGCCGTACAATTTCATTGTCATGTCAGCGCTGAAAGATAACTGTCCGGAGATAGTGAGGAATTTCAACGAGAAAGTACCCAGGTGGAATGACAATCTTTCAAATCAAAGGACATAAGTCAGATGACAATTTAATTGCTTAGAAAGATCTGGTGAGTGGGGCGATTATTGCAAAGCATGGACTGAATATAAAAGGACAAAAAGAGAATCATGAAGGGCATTGCTAGGACATAGAACAGACTGTAGAAATGTCAAGGCTCCACAAAGTTCTCTCAAAAGACCCTCAGATAAGTATTCGCTCCAAAATAAGTCAGGTGAATACACTCTAAATTGTGAAGAGACACTGAAATATCTTTTCAGGGTGTACTTTCCTGAGTCTCAAACAAAACTTATTACCCTAAGCTGAAAATTAGTTGAATATACTATGTAGTAAATAAACTCTAAGTAACATTTGGCTTCAGCTTTGGAAGTTTCGGTGAAATGGAAAATTTTAAAATTTAGTAAAAAGTTTCATTTAATACTTATTTGATCAGGACAATTGTTCAATGAAATAATTTCAAAAATAGTCTAAAAAGTTTATTGAAAAGGCCTGAAAAAATGTTTAATAAATTTTTGGCAAGAAAACAGTATAATAAACAAATACGTGACGGTTTTTCGTAGTGTTGAAACAAACCTATTTCTAATTCAAAGTTATAAAATTTTATTTACATATAATAAAAAAAATAAATACTTTGAATATTGTAAATTTCATACCTTCTTAAGTTTTAAAATTAAAACGTTAACAATTTAATATATTAAAAATAAAGATTTTATTGTGACAAAAAAAAATTGAAAAAAAGTTTTTGCAAATCAATGGCATCTAAATTTGATTAGGCGCGCGGATGCAAAGTTAAATAAATATCTCCATCAGTACTCCTTTCCCACTTCCTCTTAACTATATCTTTCATTTTGAAGTATAACAGTAACCAAATCGCCCATTTTAACTGTTCTTCTATATGCGTCTATAATCTTTGGCAATATTATACATTTAAAATGAATATTAAACCTAAATACTTACAATAAAGCAGTATATGTAATTTGATAACATCGTGAAAGCGCCAGAAAATTTAATTCGTCTAATTGTAGAAACTGCTTAACTGAGTGTCCTGTTATACTCGTACAGTCTGATAAGTCTAATTCTCTAAGTCTTGGGCAACACATAACAATGTCTGTTACGTCTACAACAAAAAAAAATGTTTGTTTTATAACAGTAAACTCTTGTATGCCATTAATAGATTTCTATATAATATTTCTAGATACAATGAACTATCTTATCCCCAAACTCCTCCTGGGTGCGCCACTACATTAAGGTAGTAGTCATTTTGTGCTTGATATCGGCCCAGTATCTTAATCTAGGGAATCCCATCCGAATTATCTTGCAACGAATAGTAAACAAATTAAATTTAAAATTCAAATGCGCTAAAAAAGTTATCTGAACATTTATATTTTAATTTTACTAAAATAAATGGCAGATATGAAGCACAGTTTTTAATAAATCGGGGCATTTCGTCAAAATTGGGCTATTCAACAATATATGGTGAATGTCATAAACATTGACAGATACATCGAATTTTATAATAATTTTTAAACTGTTTGTCCTTTGTCTCGTCTTGTGTAAATGTATGTGTAATTTGATAAAATCGCATAAATTTATCCAAAATATTTATTAATAATATAATAGTAGAAGAAAACTTACTTTGATCAGTCAAATTTCGTTTGCAGCCAGAAAAATTGAGCCTATCCATCGAAGACGGTAGATTTTTGCTAATATATTTCACACAGCTATGTGATAAGTCCGTCCACGCAATATTTAGCTCCCTAATTCTAAAACAAAACAAAAACGGGTTATAAATTACTACAACATGGATATAAAATGTGACAAAAACTCAAGATGCTAGTTTTTAAAACTTACTAGTTACAAAAGTAAAAACATTGGGTTTTTGCTTACTTTTGTATAAATTATTGTAAATTACTATACTAATGATGTAGTTAGTTACTTACTTTCTACAATTTGTCAGTAAATATTTAAGTCCATCTTCTTCTATTCCCAGAGACATTGATAAATTTAACACCTCTATGTCCTTATTTGCCGACAATGCTATAAGAACGTCATCGTTCACTTCTACATGTTCTAAATTGAGTTTCTTAAGACGTCTACATTTATTGAATATTATAACGAGGCTTTCGCACGTTATATACGACATACCTAGGTCTAAATACAACAGTCTTGCTGTGAAGTCGGATAAAGCTGCCTTTATATTGGGAACGAGTATAGGGGAATGTATCTGTGAAAAAAAAATAAAATAATATCATTGTTTAAATAGGACTAGTTAGCCAACGCAATGTATAAATTTGTTTGATTCCAATTGAGACAGTCACTAGATGTCACCACTCTTTCTGTCTCAATAGCTTTTAATATACAATTGTTTGTTTGATACACGTTATACTAGATGGTGCTATGTGAAAAAATTAAAGAATAAACTAAACGTCCATTTTTGATCCCCCGAATTTAATTCACCAGCGTTGCAATATTTCACTGACATAGTAGCAACAGGTTTATTTACAAATAAAAACGTAACAAAAAACAGCCCATGAATCACTTAAGGTGTTCATTTAAAATAGAGTTATTGTTATTACTATCAACTAGTAAATATCGTGTCAACTAAAATAGTACATAAACATACTGTGGCTTCTAAATCTTCATATCTCCATATAAATAAGTTTAAAGAATTTAAATATTGTAATTTATTTGGAAGTGTATTAAAAACATTTGGTCCGAGGTAAGTAAAACATTTTAATCCTATGTGTTTAAAACATAAAGAATCATTTGTATGAGAAATGAACAAAATTAGGTATTTAAAAATAAATTTTACCTGGTAATACATACATCCAATAATATTTGAAAGAAAATGATTTTAAATTAAAATAGTGTTTCTTCCATAATAAATAAATGGTTTTTTACAGATGACTGGAAATATTTGTTGTTATTACAAATGTGGTTTATCACCAAGATTCATGGATTGAAAATGTTCAGATTTCCGACAAAAAATCCTTCGGATTGTCAAACATGGATATTACACTTTGGTAAGTAAATATAAACTTTTTTTATATTCTTGTATTTCACACCGTTTCCGTTACGTATTTAATTTGAAAAAAATTTTATTTTTTTTTCATTCTTCATTCATTTTTTATTATCGCCACGGTGCACGCGTCATATTCGAAATGCATTAATTTGTATTTTACGTTTTGGTTGGTATTAGGTATAATTATGATATAATAAACTTCGAAAAAAGAAATTAGTGAATAAATATCAAGTTAATAAACATAAACAAAGTATTAGATATTTAAATATGTATTTATTTAGCTATTTTTAGTTATTGTATTGAAAAGTAGAAATAAATTCATCTTTATCGGAGAACTAATTTATACACATCTAAGAAAATCATTGATTTCGCGTAAAAATCTTATACAGGTATCATAGGTTATCACCATTGGTCAATAAAAAAATATTTCATAATTATTGTACACTTCAAAGGAGATTACATTAACAATGTTACAATCAATTTCTATAACTATTAATGTAAACAATTTTGTTTTGTTTTTTTACCTTGAATTATGATTTTGTTAATATTGTTTATGTGTAGATATTAGAACTTTGATGTGTTATATAACTATTAAAATAATGCGAATTTAATTTTTGCAATTTCTATCACTTTGTAATTTAAAATTATTTCATTAATAAACAGCTCAGATCGGGCGAACATTCTCATTTATGTAAACAGAAATACAAAAATGGTGTGTATATTATGAAATACATAAGTAAATAAAGTAAAGAGTACAGTTTATTAAAGTTTTGTTAATTATTATTCCTTTTATTCCAACACATAGATTAATATATGTTGCCTCTTGTGGCATATCGATCTGTTTATTGTTTCAAAACCATTATCAAAAAACCAAACCCATAAAATTACTATATTTCCAAACGTCATTTTAAAGATTAAAATATAGAAAATTTAATTTACACAAGACGTACATAAAACCACTTTTTAAAAAGATTTTCTTTTTTAAACAGTGATAAAACTTAATTGAACAATTTAAGTCTTACAATCTTGACCAAATCTCTCTTTAGTCTTGACTAAAAAATAAACCTCCGCATGAGAGTTCTAAGACAATAGCAATCCAGTCTATTTCAATTAAATATTTAATCCTTTTCTAACAAATCATATAACCAAATTTAATATCTGGTAAACTAATAAAAATTTAAAAAAAACGGCAGCATTTATCTACTTCATTTAAATAGATTACTGACCGATTTAAATTTAGCAAGTCTGAAAGTATAAAAACAATTTGAAATAATCACTCGAAATAGTCAAGTTATCTTTCACAAGACGTATACGACGATAATAACAATAAGCATTTTATTTAAGTCATATATTTTCTTCACAATTTGGCATCCGTGTACAAGTTTGAATTAGTTATCAGACACCTAAAAATATACTCGAGTAGAATCCTGTAGAGAATTTAGTCTCTGTTAATAGTTTTTTAAATTTATGACTAGAGGCTGCCACATGACGGCAGATTATAAGTCAAACATGTGTTCCATAAGGATTGTCTAACTAGTACTATTTAAACAATGATAATATATTCACATAAAATGGCAAAAAGACAACAAAAACTCAAATACCAAAAACTGTTAATGAAAGTTTTATATTGATGATACAAAGGATCAAAATTTGAACTCTTAAAAAACATATTTAGTGTAACTAGTGATTTCTTCAATAAAAATTATTATCCATATTAAACCTATTTGACCATCATTACTTGTAGGAACTATTAAATACTTACCACTGCAGCTGATGCCCTGAGAATAATCACTTGGTTGCTCAAAATTTTTCCGAATCGGCCCGGGCTCAAATTTTTCCCAGAAACGTCCATTCTAGTCCAAAGCGACTCATCTTGGATGAGTCTACTAAATCTTTTACACACTAAGGCTATTTCCGGTAAACACGTCTTTGGTAGCCACCTTAGAATATTAAGTATTATTTCGTCTGCTAATAAGTCAAAATGATCTAAAAAAATAATGCCAATAAACAAAAGCTGTAGTTCATAATACACTGAAATCAGATGAGTTACGGCAACTACCAAAAGCACAGTTATCTGGATATTTTTAAACATTTCGGGTCCAATATATTTTTTTGATCTATAAATATCGATAACAATAGCAAAACTAAAACAACAACTACCAATAATACCAAAACCTGTTAGAGATAGATTAAATTATCAATCAGAGCGCCTTCAAGAGAAGCAGACTAGAGAAATAAATAAAAAACTATGAATATAGAATATAGATGAAGAGTGGCAAGCCGTACAGACTGCTATATCGGAAGCAGCGGAAAAGCGTATAGGAAGAGAGTATATAAATAGACGGCAAGACTGGTTCGATGAAGAATGTAGGAATGTTTAGGCGAGAATAAACAGGGCAAAACTACAAAGAGATAAAGAAAATACCCAAAATGCGATCGAAGAAACTATGTGTCAAGAAGAAGGGAAGTGAAAAGAATTTGCAGAAAGAAAAAGAGAACCGCTAGAAACGCAATTGAAGAAGTTCTACCAAGAAGTTAAAAAAAAAATCCAGAGAAACTACAAAGAATAATCCACAGTATTGCAGAAACAAAGATACTTCTAGGTGAAACAACAGAAAAATTAAACAAATGGGCGGAATATTTTGATATCTATTAAATAAAGACCAACAAGAGGAACTTGATAGATATGAAAATTGGCAAGAAGATGAAGAAGGGCCGTGCGAGGAACCAACTTTGAATGAAGTCAAAGAAATAATAAGAGACCTAAAAAATAACAAAAGTGCAGGAGAAAGTGGTATCCCAGCTGAGATTTTTAAGGACGGTGACGAAAGATTGAAGGAAAGGATATTTCACTTGACACTAATAATTTCGCAAAAGGAAGAAATGCCGAAATAATGGAATAGTGCTCTTATTTGTCTTATCTATAGAAAAGGAGACAAAATAGAGTGCGAAAACTATAAAGGTGTAGCACTATTAGAAGTAGTCTATAAAATACTTTAAAAATTATTAGGAAAAGATTAATACAATATGATAACAAAGTGAGAATACCAGGGAAGTTTTAGATCAGGACATACAACTGCTGATCAAATAAGTATGTTAAAATTAACACAAAATAATAGCTACAAACAAAACTTAGGATTACATATGCTATTTATTGATTTTAAACAAGCATATTACTCCCTAAATCGAACAATGCTATATGAGGCCATCAGAACATTTGCGATTCCAGAGAAGCTTATAAGGCTAGTGAGAATGGCGCTTAGGAACACGATGAATAGGATTACAATGGAAGTAAGCTTTTAAAGACAGTTGACAGTGAATAGAGGTTTAAAACAAGTGGATCAGCTATCAACGAATTTATTCAACCTAGTATTAAAAAAATCGTAAAAAGATCAAATATGAGCAAAAACAGGAGAACAAAAAAACATTTAGAAAAAGTTTTCCAGAAATTTGAAGAAGAGAAAAGATACGGATCAATAATAAACGAAACAAAAATGCAATATATGGAAATGAGAGGAGACATAAATAATAACAAATATATCAAAATAAAAGGAGCAGACACTGTCTATACTTTTGAAAAAGTGTCAGAATTTGAATACTTATGAGTAACCACAACGAATACGGGAAAAAGAAGAAAAAGAGATAGACAAAAGATTAATGAAGGGAAACAGAGCGATAAGGTCACTAAATACATTACCGAAAGCAAGAAATGTTTCAAGAACAGCTAAACTGCGAGTCTATAAGACAGTAATCAGATCCACAGTGATGTATGCCAATAAAACATGGATTATGAAATAGTAGGAAGAAAAGAAAGTAGAGATCTGGGAAAAAAAGTGCTCAGAAAAATCTTTGCAGGAATAAAGAGAGCACAAAATATTGGAAAAGTTGAAAGAATAAAGAAATAATGAGGATGTATGGAAAACCAGCAATTACAGCAAAAATACGAGCCCAAAGAGCTTGATAGTTTGGTTACATTATATGAATGCCAGAGAATCGAAATGTTAAAACAATACTGAAGGAGGCAGGAATAGGGAAAAAAGAAGAGGACATCCAAAGAAGAAATGGTTGAAAGCAGTAAAGCAAGACTTGTCTGAAATAGGTGTGAGAAAGCAAGGAACCGAAAAAAAATGGAGCAAATAATAAGTTTTTAGAAGCCAGGGGCCTACAAGGCCTGTAGCACTGGTTTAAACAGTGTAAAATATTGCCAAAATCAATCCTGTACTTTCTTTGTTTTAAAAACTGAATAAGATGCAATAAATCATGAATTTTCATAACTTTGTATTAATACTTAGGTTTTGATTGACCTTTATTTATTGTGACATGGTTTTTATTTATTGTGATGTCAATATCTTCCCAGAAAAACCTGCCCCAATTTTTAAGACTGTTAGAAATTTTAAACACTTTGATGCAAATCTTTTTTTACTTCATTTAAACTCTACTCTGTTTGTCAACATCTATCAGATTGAAAACATCAATGACAAAGTAAAATTCTTAAGCAGCTCCATTATGGCTCTTTTTTACAAAAAGGCACCCTTTAAAAAGATTCACTAAAAATTATACTTCTGGGCTAACCGATAATGAAAAAGCCTTCTTTCAACACAATCTTGGGAAAAAATTTTTTGAAAAATTTAAAACTCATTAATATTGGTAAGAACGAACACACAATTCGAGAACCTTTAAAAGAACCTTATGAGATTAATCAATACTACACATCATTCATCCCACATCTAACAATCAATCAAAATACAATTGACAATTCCTTAAATACTGTACCTAATTGGAAACATTTCACCTTTACTCCAGTATCTTGTGATCTAGTGCAAACTTAAAAGTGTTACTTCAATGTTGCCCATTAATTCTTTCCTATTAAACACATATAATAAACTGTCGCCTCTCCTATTTCCCAGATGAATGGAAAAAAGCATTAATTGGACCCATACATGAATGTAACAATCCAACAGAATATAAGGATCTAACATTTATCCTTAAAGTATTCTACCAACTCTATCAAAAGCTCTAGAATGCATTATGGAAATGCAGCTTTGCGATTATATTTCTAACAATATCTTAATTGAGTTTCAGTCCGGGTTTAGGCCATTTAACAACTGTGAGAAGTACTCCTTAAAATAACTAATGACATTTTGAGAGAAAGAGATATAGGTAAGGTTACCATTGTATTTTTAATCGAGTTCTCTAAGGCTTTCAACACTATCAATCATTCACTACTCTGCACAATTTTGAAATCAACTGGCTTATCTATGGATGCATTGAATATAGCTGTCTTACTGGTGTGATAGGAAATAGAGTGTCAAAGTAGATGAAAGGAGCACCGATTTTCTAAACATTTTGTTAGGGGTGCCTTAGGGGCCAATCTACTTTATACACCACCAATATTGGCACTTCATTGAATACCTGTAAATTTCATTGAATACCTGTGTTATTGCCTTGCATACACCATTAATTCTGCCTCTTACTACCTTATAATATATATTATAATATAATATATATTATATATATTTATATTATATTATAATATATAATATATATTATATATATTTGAAATTGATTACAGGAAAAGATACTTACTTGTCTTATCTGTTGGTTTTATAACAATTTTCTCACATAATACATTGTCCCATTCACCTAAAGTTAATTTGTCTAAAGATTCTTTTGGTAAAGTTGATTCCAATAGTGAGAGCTGAAAGGTTAACAATTTAAATGGAATTGTAGTAAGAAATACAGATTTTATAATAATGACAGATCTAAAAGACTGCCCAACATGTAATTTATAGTGATTAACTATTTACAAGTGAGGATATCGAGTAAACAATAAAATAGACAATATTACAACTAAAATGATATAAATGTCTCAACAGAATATAGATACGAGATTAGTAAAATTGGTTTAAGAAGCTTAAAAACTTGAAATTTGAATAAAATGTGGTTCCCATATAAGCAGACCATAACAAGGATAATAAATTCTTCAGCAATTAAACTTCCACTTACAGAGTTGCTGTGGAAGACATTTTACATACTACTTAGTGAATAATAGAAGCAATAGAAAATTATAACTAATATCAATTGAAGACAAGATCATAGCAAAACTACAAAAACAAGATGGATGAATAATATTCATAATGGTCAATAAAGGCTTGGCATATAAAATAATATGAGAACATATTGATAAGATAAAAGACAAATCCAATAAAAATGGCCCGAAAACCACTATGGAACAACTAAAGATCTATAATGGAGAGAACAGTTAAAAAAGCACAACAGAAGTTAAATAAACCTGAGAATGGCTGCTCCCAATGAACATACAGGCCTTCTATGTAGGAAAAAAAAATCAAAATTTTATTTCAGAGTAAAATAATTATACCTGTTTCTCCCTAGTGTTTGGGGTCATAGAAGCACATGAAATGTCTATACTTCCAGGAATGTTTCTATTAAATATTGTATCATCATCAGTATATATTTCTTCAGTATCACAATCCAAACGACCAACTCCATGATCAAAAGTTTCGTGTAAAACCACTTCGTTTTTGTGAAAACTCCACCTCTCATGTTTATTAAATTCATTGACTGTATCATCATATCTTGCTCTTTTACTGAAGAATTAAAGTATAACATAAAATTTAATTTTTGGAAAATTCCACAATTCACTTACCGTACAGGCGATAAACCTACGTTTACATCTACAGGTTGCAAAATACTGGACATTTTTCTTTTTGAGTGTTTATTAAGAATTTTAATACTTCATTCCCCACAATTTCCCAGTTTTTTTCGTGCGGCAAAAGTTCCCTCCAAAGCAATACAAAAACTTGACGTTGAGCGGGATGTCTGTCGTATGCCACGAAATATAACAGTCGCAATTTCAATTATACCAACTTAATTCTAAACTCTACTTTGTTAAATATCTTGTTTTAGAATCTGTTACAATGGACAATTGTAGACCTTTTTTAATACTCTGATTATTATGTGTTTGGTCTACTTGTTCTGTTGTCCTCATCGAGCAAAAAGATAAAAGGGGGAATGTAAAGGTAGTGGGGACAAAAATATTGTTACACAGGAAGTGCTATCTTGAGAGGCCACTTTAAACAAGGAAAGACAGTCTCTTTCCCATCGAGCAAAAAGATAAAAGAGGGAATCTAATCGTTATGAAAAGGAGACCAAAAAAGTGGCCTCTGATGGCGGACATATCCGGAAATGCAAAGGCGCTAAATTTAAATTTTCCAACACTTGTTAACAATACCTGTAAAATATTTTTCAGACAAGAAAGTTTTAATTAAATATTAACGATAATAGTCTAAAAAGTGACATAATTGGTAAAAAAACTTCAATATAAATAAAATTTCATGTGACAGTTGGGACAAACAATAACATAACCAAACTAAATTTGACTTTTAAACAAGGAAAGAGACTGTCTTTCCTTGTTTAAAGTGGCCTCTCAAGATGGCACTTCCTGTCTATCAATATGTTTACCCCTTCTACCTTTACATTCCCTCTTTTGTCTTATTGCTCGATGCTCTTTCCTTGTTTAAGAAGTCAAGTTTAGTTTGGTTATGTTATTGTTTGTCCCAACTGTCACATGAAATTTTATTTATATTGAAGTTTTTTACCAATTGTGTCACTTTTTAGACTATTATAGTTAATATTTAATTAAAACTTTCTCGTCTGAAAAATATTTTATAGCTATTGTTAATAAGTGTTAAAAAATTTAAATTTGGCGCCTTTGCATTTCCGGATATGTCCGCCATCAGAGGCCACTTTTTTGGTCTCCTTTTCATAACGATTAGATTCCCTCTTTTATCTTTTTGCTCGATGGTTGTCCTTCGTCAGCACTTTTGTTTTGTTCGCTACAACAATACGTCATTGAACAGATGACACAAATGTATGCTTTCCAGCATACTTGTGAATTTGTTGTCAAAAGCACAGAATACACCCACTCATCTGGTGTATTCTGTGTCAAAATGAACTGTTTTCTGTCATTCTGTCAAACTTAAACTTAACCTAAAAAAATTGGACCGACAAAATGTCATGTTATAATGTTATAAAAAGTTTAAATGTTCAACTTTTACGACGAAGCAGCATTTATTTCCAAAGTGCAGAGGTAATATTAATAAAATTGTGATATTTTCATCTCACTACCTCAATATTTTCCTTAGGTTGCACTACCCAACAGAATTCGTCAAATTGCTAGAAATTATAGTAACAATAAACCTTTTCCTAAACCGAAACCGCCAGGAAGAGGCGTTGGGCCCATAACGTGGAAAAATCTTGGAATTACTGCAGTATTAGGTGGCGGTTTGTTAGCATTTATGTGGTATTTAAAAAAAGAAAAAGAAGAAGGTAGGCAGGTAAAACTTAAATCCTTATTCTGAGGATACAAAGAAATTTCCTTTTTCAGCACAAATGAAAGAAAGACAGCGTATGCTAGGAAAAGCTGCCATTGGTGGAAGCTTTGAACTTGTAGATAGTACAGGTAAAATAAGAAATAGTGATGAGTTTCTCGGAAAATGGCTTTTAATATATTTTGGGTTCACACATTGTCCAGATATTTGTCCAGATGAACTAGAG